AGGTGCTTTCCCCAGGGGTCCCGGCCTGGCCGAGCCCGCCCCCCGCCCCCCACAGCTCCCGTCGCAGGGCCCCGGAGCAGTACTGAACTTGGGTCCAAGTGTGGGTACATCCTGCAGTTCTCCGAGGCGAAAACGGCAAGAGAGACAAACAGGAGACAAACTCCGTGGCAGTTTTCAAGAACAGTTGTGTAAACTTTTCTGCAGAGGAGATGTTCTCCTCAGGTTATTTTAAGAAAAAAGGCTAGAAAAAAGCACCTGCTGCTGAGCGCCCCCTTCCCTCCCACCGCGAGTGGAGACAGGCGGGCACACGGGCTCCTGGCAGGGCTCTCCCAGCGTCCCGGGCTCCACGGGGAACGCTGGGCTTCGCGGAAGCGTCTCCCTGCGTGGGGCTAACGGTCCGTGGAAATCTCCCAGGGGACGGTGTCGGCCGGGCTGTCCCAAGGCTGGGTGCCCACGCCCGGCAGGCCGGCCCGAGTCCCAGGACAAGCGCTCCTCTGAGGGGCCCTGGCCGAGGGCGTCTGCCCAGCGCGGCTCAGGCTTCCCGGGAACAGGCCCACAGCACGCGTGCAGTCACTTGGGGTGACGGTGCTCCTGAACTCGCTCTTTCCTCAGCCCGGGAGGAGTGCCTGGACGCACACGTCCCCCGCGAGCTCCAGGTCCCGGGGTGTGTGTGGGAGGGGCACCTAGCAGTGCCCTGCTGCGCGACGGTCACCCGAGACGCCGCCGGGCCGAGCGCCGGACAAACCGTTTCCCTAAGTTGCCGCGTCACACAGCTCAGCGGGTCACACACGCATCAGTAAACACGCATTTCAGTCGGTGGTAATTTGTGAAACAAGTTTAGCAAAAATATATTGAGAATAAAAGCCAGAAACTGGTAAAGAAAAGCCACCCGAAAAAATGTACAAACTCTTCCCCCAAGTGATGAGACCCTCCGGGGACGCTGCCCCACGTGAGCCTGTGCTTTAAAGGCCGACGTGGCATCAGCGCTTGGTTCAAGTCCACGGAGAGAAAAACTACAGGGGAGATCCCACAACAACACTACGCTAGTCGCCGTCCTGGGGCCGGCTCCTCACTAGGATGGAAAAGAAGCATTTTGAGGAAAAACTTCACATTAGTACAAAAAAGAAATCATACAGCTGTTTCATAAGAGCAGAGTCATGGTTCCCAGGGCACTCGGGGTCTTGAGCCCTTGCCCAGGCCCCACCCTGGTCTCCTCTCCTGAGTGACGGCAACGGGGAAGCAGGCTGGGTGACGTTGTCAAGATTAAAAGAGGTAAGAGTGATCCTCCGAAAAAATACTACTCTATACATCTCAGGGGAGATAAAAACATTTTATATGCCAATTATTTTTCCGCCGTAACTTTAACCTAGGAAAGTAGAGCGGGAGGGCACCTTGACGTTCTGAGATTCAAGTGTAGCTGTAATGCTGCGTAGTCAGGCTTGTCTGTCCTGGGGCGTCCGCACCTCGCGGCTGGAACCACGTGGCTTGGACGGTCAGTGCGGCGCAGCGGGCGCTGCTGGGATGGCTCAGTGACGGGAGGCGCCCCCTCCCGAGGAGGCCTGTGCGTGCGTCCCGGGGGCTGCGGCCGCGTCCTCCGGCCCTCTGCGCGCAGGGCGGGCCGGCCACGCGGGGCCCCCCGATCTCACTGCGCCGCGGCCTGGCGCTATTTGCCCTCCGTGACCCTCCGCCAGCACCTCCTCTTCCTCCTCCTCCCCTTGGACTTGGGCTCCGAGCAGGGCTGCTCGGCCGGCTCTGCCCGCAAGTCGTGCTCGCCGCAGTACGGCCGCCCGTCCTGGGTGGAGCTGAAGGCTGCCCCGTCCTGGTGTTCCTTGCAAAACGAATTGGGGCAAAAGTGGCAAAATGAAGTGGAAGGTTTCCCACACACGTCACAGTGATGCCAAGGACATTCCCACTTCCCTGCAATGAAACAAAGTATCACCAGACAGAAGAGAGGAATGGCAACTTGTAACACTGTAACATTTTCATGGTTGAAAACTAACTTTAAAACTCAGTCTAGTCAGATGAACACAAACTAAAACAAGACACTGCTTTCCAGGCAAGTGTCAAGAGCTAAAGAGAAGCTAAAGCTGGTGCTCAAAGGCCTGGGGGGCGGAGGGCGGAGGGCAGCGAGCCCAGATGGCCCAGTGGACCGGGGGCCCTGCCGCCCCAGCTGCTGTCCGGTGACGGGTGTGCAGCCGGGCCGAGTGTTTCGGGGGCCCCGATCTTTCCGGGCCCCCCCCCCCCCCGCAAAGGCTCTCAGTGCGGTCTGGGGAAAGCAGCACGCCGGCCATGAGCCTCTCTGCTGCCTGCCTGCTGGCCCTGCTGCATCATCTTGTGCCACACACAGTGTTTCTGTTTCTGTTTTACAGTCAAACACATTTGACTTCTTTTCTAGCTTTTCCTCTTGTGTCTCTGGGTGAGGGCCCCTCGGCTTCCTTCCCGAGGTGACACGGCCGCTCTGTGCACGCCGGAGCCCGTCATCTCTCTGAAGGGCAGAGTCCAGCCCCAGCCCCAGCCCCTCCCCGTCTTCCCAGCTGAGACCCAGGGGTGCGGGGCCCCCCGCTCCCAAGCAGCTCCTCCTGGCACCTTCCCCCAGCCAACTGCCAGCCCCCAAGGGCTGCGCCGGGTGGTCTGGCCTCGGCTGCCCGGGCTGGGGACCCACCGAAGGGCCGCTTGCCCAGGCCCAGGCAGGGCAGGTGGTAGGCCTTGGTGCAGGACTTGCGGTCGCACAGCACCAGCTGCCCGCCGTCACCGCAGCGGAAGCACTCGTCCTCAGACGGCTTCTTCCCTTCGCCTTTCGTTCGACGCCTCCTGGTTTTTTTCTTGGCCTTTTTGCCCTTTTCCTCCGAGGAAAGGGATGCTGAGGTCTAGAATGAAGAAATAAATGCAGTTCACCCAAGGGAACGGCGCGCACTGAGGCCAGCTGTCCCGAGGGGTCACCAGGGCCAGGGTCAAGGTCGGGAGCGCCAGGGCCCCGAGGATGGTCTCACAGGAGAACAGTGGGGTTTGCGGCCGACAAGGAAAAGGCTAGGGCCCGCCCTGTTCCCATTTACGGCCTGTAGTGAACAACACAGGCCGCCGGCCGCAGCGCGCCTCAGCAGGCACGCGGCCCAGGGCAGGCTCTCTCCCCACATGGCGCATCTTGTGAGAACAGATGAGAAAAGCCAGGTGAAGGAGCAGGCCCGCTGTGGACATCCCACCTCTGGGCCTGGATGCCTGCGGCCGTCCAGAGGCTTCAGGCCCGGGTTTTACCCAGCACAGGGAAGGGGCTAAGTGTGTGCTGGGTGGAGCCGTGTCCCCCACCCCAAAGCCATGTCCTTCCTGGAACCTCAGATGGGACCTTGCTTGGAAGTAGGGTCGCTGCGGACGTAAAGCAGTGGGCCCTGACCCTGCATGACCAACCGGCGTCCTTGTGAAAGAGGGAAGGAGACGCGGAAACACACACGCAGGCAGAACGCCACGTGCCGCCAGGCGCTGGGGGCAGACCCGCCCCAGGGGAGTACGGAGGCTCTCACTTTGGATTCCCGGCTCCAGGCCGTGAAGCCCCAGCACCCTGTGGCCTCTGCAGGGGCAGCCACGGCCCGCGAGCGCAGCAAGCAGCCACCGAGTCTTGTGCCCGGCCTCCCCTGCCGTCCTCGCCCTGCCCGGCAGACTCCGCTCCCGCCACCGCTCACCTTGGGCCTGTCCCCGAGGAACCCGCTGCAGTTGGAGGCCCCGCACCGACAGACTGTTTTCTCGTTGCCCAGACAGTCGAGGTTGTAGTTGAAGGTCAGCTCTGTCCCTGGGTGAGGGAGACAAGCCACACTGGGACACTGCCCTTCTCCCGACCCTGCCAAGAAGCCTGCATCAGGTCTATGAGCCCTGCGCCTGTCAGCACACCTGTACTGTCCCTGCACGGCTTTCGGTTCCACGCTGCAAGGTGCACGTTCCAAACAAAACACAGCTTCCAAATTGCCAGCCGCCCGCCCTCCCCGAGCCCGGCGGTCTGGCCACACGCAGCATCGGACAAGGGCCCCTCCACCTGCCCGCTTGGCTGGGAGCCCCGTGGGGAGCCCCGGAGGCACCGTACCTGCAGGAATGTCACACACGGCAAACAGGCCCACGCGAGTGTCACCGTTCACTGTCCACTTGAGGGTCTCACAGTTGGGCTGGCAGCTGTGATTCATGAACCGGGAATAGTTTCCTTTGGGGCCGGCGTCGATTATACGGTCCTGTAAGGCACAACTCAAGTTTCAAGCAGCATCTACATACGTGGTCAACTCTCAGCCATCACGTTCTCATTCAAAGGGAACTGTCACCGTCGTGCTGGACAACTGGCGTGGTACTGAAAACCGTGGTCTCCCAGGTCCACTCAGGTGCGACACCCCCAAACCAGTCCTGCTTCTCTTGCTCACGGAGGGCAGGCAGGTCACAGCACACGGAGGGACCGAGCGCTGGTGAGCGGGGGGCAGTGAGCCGAGCTCCCCGACGTCAGACGGCAAACGAGGGGGCCGGACACCAACAGCCTGACAGAGGACAGGACTGACCGCTTACGACACAAACCAGCCAGCAAGTCGAGAGCCCAGCGGTGGAGGAAACAAGGAGCACGTCCTGAGGCCACGAGGCCAAGCTGGCTGATGGGAGCGGGGGGCCAAGCCCCGCGGCAGAAGCAGTCTTGAGACGCACCCGGGCAAAAGAGATGAGGGTCCCGCCTTCGTGCTCCCGGGACTCGACCCCCCGAAAGGCAAGCGCCTGTGTGTACGCGGAGATGTACTCCTATCGTGGCAAAACCCAGACGATGCAATCGCCCGGCGTCAGGGAGCGGTGACCTCGCCTTCCTCACCCTAAGGGTCTCTCATCGACCACGCGACCGTAAGGGACAGGAGAAAGACGTACCGGAGGCGGGAGGGCACTTAAAACTAGGCCACAAAAAGCATCATGGTCATGCGGTAACACCACACGGAGTCTGTGAGTGGGGGACAGGACGTGTGTAAACACAGGCACCCCAGGAGCGCGGCATCGAGACGCCTGCCAGGCTCCCCTGCCCTGGACGGGCGGCCCCGGGCGGGGGCCTCAGCCACACGCTCACACCCAGACGCTAGCTGCTCCTCTGAAGGTGGACACGTCTCAGAAGCGCGTGCTCTGCAGCGTGCTCCTGCCTCACTGAAAGGAACCACCGAACCTGCTCTGAGCAGGTGCGTCGGCTCCTCAGTGCCGAGCTACTGGTGCCCAGCTGTCTGTCCGCTACTGATGAACCTGATGCTGCTTCCGGTTTCCGCTGTCACAGCGCTGCGGCCACGGGCTCTCTGCACGGCTGCTCCTCTTTGTGGTTGGTGCTAAGTCCATGCTGATTCTCTGCCTAGGACCTCCCGCTCCAAGACCTGAACCCACAGTGGACTTTCCCTCGCTTGGCTGTCTCCTGTGCCTCCCTGAATTGTGGCTCTGGGGGTGCGGCTGCTCTGTTATTTGGGGCACACCCTGCAGGATGCATCCTGGTCCCTGGCGGCGCTTTTGACGTTAAAAGGCCTTCCTCTGTCTCACTGAATGCGCTGGGGCCCAAGTTTTGCCTTGTCTGAGAACAATTCTTTTTTAATTTGACTTCACCTGACACACCTTTGTGCACAATTTTATTTTCAACTTTCAGGATCCCTCTGTTTCTTAGGTACAGCAGAGAAATAAGCTTCGCTTTATGAACCAATCTGGAAATCTTTTAATAGATGAGTTAATCCAACTCCCTTTTACAAATATGACTCATATGTTGGGCACAACTCTATCAATCTAATTTGCCTGTTTATTTGGGTTCTAGCCGTTTACTATGAAGTAATGGGGTTTGTTAAATATGGATTTCCCTGTTATGCTGGGAACTTTATTTTCCCCGCTGGCTGCCCTTTATCGAGGGCATCTCTGCCTGCACACAACGCCCGCAACCTCCTCTTGCGGTGGGCTCCCCTGACCCACCTCCATCCTTACAACCCAGTTTTCCGTGGCATTCTTACCTTAATACTTAAAAATGCTGAAAACTACTCCTACTTGGCTTATCAGCCTGACTCTTGGGCATCAGCATCAGAGGTGAGTTTACCTCACACTCTGGCCTCCCCTCTGTCGCTGTCGGGAGTCACAGTTCGGCACAAATTCCCGATACCTGTACCACCACCAGTCGCTTTGCGGGGGTCACCTGGAATCCGTCCTTCAGCAGCTTCCCCCAAAGGACCGGTGCCCTTAGCTCCCGTGTCCACACCTGTCACTCTGACATCTACGTCTAAAGAGCCAGTCGGCTGGAGAGAAAGTCTCCAGTTCACTCCTTCCTTGAAAACTTTTATCAGTGCTCCTCTGTGCTCAGGCACTGGATTCTGCCGTGAGAAGCCTCGGGACGGCCTCACGTTCTTCCCCTTACAAGTAACTCAATTTTTTGGCCGAGCTAGCCAGCGGGTTCCTTGCTATGTCCAGTAACCTTAGTAAGATGTTTGTCACATTGACCATTTTCGGACGGACTCTGCCCCTGAAACCCAGGGCATCCTTTCAATGCCTAGACTCCCGTCCGCGGCGCGTCCCCCGGCCACGCTTTCTTTCTAACCTTCCTCTCTTCCCGCCGTGCCGTGTCCGTCCTGCGTCTGCTCGGGCGCCGCTCCAGGCGGCTTAAGCTTCAGAGATGCTCTGGCTGCGGCTCGTTTCACTCGCAGTCTCCGAGTTCGAGGTCCAGCTCAGCTTGCGAAGTGGCCGTCTCTAACCCCTCGCGCTTCAGAAGCGCACGCTGACTGCTGGGGCACGATGTCCCCAGCTCTGGCCGCGTCTCCCCAGCCGCAGGGAGGTTCTGCTGCTCTTTGTTGTCAGATCCTCTCGAAACGTGCTAGGGCTCCTGGAGCAGCTGTTGGCTGCATTCTGGGCGCCCTGCTCTGTGGCCACCTGATGGCCCACAGCTCCCCAGGCTCTAGAGCCTTGGGCCCCCTCTCTGCCTCACAGAAAGCTGCCTTACTTTGGAAGACGGTCCTTCCGAGGCCTGTCACCACAGGTCCCCAGGACCCCACCCGCCCCTCTTTCTCTGAGGCCCCCTTCTGAGACCACTAGTTCATCCTCTTGTGCAACTGCCAGCAGTAAGGAGGCAAGTCGGGGCCGCTCAGTTCTGCTGGGAGCAGGCACCTCGGGGGCAGGGGTGGGGTGCCTAGAGGCGCCAACTCTGCAGCACCTCAGCCTCTGAGTCCCCTGCTCTCAGACAGCATCTTCTGTCTGCTCGTGGGTGACGAGGTCCTTAGTTTCACTGAAGATGTACTTGGTGTATCTTTTTGTTGCTGCTTTGGAATTGAGCACCGCCATCTTCTACCAAGGTCCTATGTATATAGATTTTTTAATTTAATTTTTATAGATTAAGGGGTTTTTTGGCAGCGCCTTGTGGGATCTTAGTTCCTCGACCAGGGATCGAACCAGGGCCCTGGGCAGTGAGAGCTGAGTCCTAACCATGGGACTGCCAGGGAACTCCCTACCTCGTGTTTTCTGATTACTATCTTTTCTCCTTTTTTCCTCCCTCCTCCCTCACTTTCTAGTGATGGAGACTTTTCTTTATGCACTTTTCCACTCTCTCACAAGGTGGAAGTTACACTTTCCATTTCTACTCATTCAGCCATTTCCTGTGTATGCCTGACAAAGCCTGAGTTAGTGAAGTCTCCCCTCCATCCACACCAAACACGCAGCTCACACTGGCCTCGTCTCTCTTCTGACGCCCTCTGTGACCGCCATCCCGGCCCCGCTGCCCCGCATTCACCAGCACTCAGCACCTGTGACAGCCACACCCGCACGCGCGCCACCTCTCGTCCACCATCCTTCTCGCGCCTCACACGTAACTTCTGAAGCCCCTGAAGGACCTCCTTTACTATCTCCTCTGCCATGTGACGCTGATGGTCAGCTCGCTTGGTCCCGGTCCGGAGGGTGCGAGGTGCAGGGTCAAGGGTTTTTCTCCCTGAGGAGCAGAAGTGTCCCTGGTTTCCGTCACACTAGGAGGAGGCTGACCATCCAACTGTCGTTCCCTGGAACATGCTCTTTTTTTCTCTGTTGTCTTTTTCTTTTCTTTTTTTTTGGCTGCACTGCGCGACTGGTAAGATCTCAGTTCCCCGACCAGGGATCGAACCCGGGCCCTCAGCTGTGTAAGCGCCAGGTCCTAACCAATGGACCCCCAGGGAAGTCCCTCTCTGTTGCTTTTCATCTCTGTAGTGTATGGCATCTTACAGGCTTTTTTTTTTTTTTTTTTTTAAAAAACATACCCAGGTATGGATTTATTTTCATCCGTCCTGCTCAAAGCTTGTTCAGCTTCAGCCATGAAATGATCCATGTCACGGAGATTCCATAGAATTCTTTTTCCACCTTGCCTCTCCCCCAGGTCTCCCTCCCGCCTTCCTTCTGGAACATCTACTGAGCGTCTGTCTTCCCGTCTCTCGGCCTCTCTCTCCGAGCCTCGTCGCTCCACGTTCCTGTGGCGCGTCCAGACGGACTCTCAGATGCTCCTCCTGCTGCAGTCACTTCCCTGCTGCCGTCTAACTTTTCTTAGCCCACATCCACTGGGTTATTTTCGATGACTATATGTTAACTCTCAGTTTTAACTGTTGGTTCACATCTGCCTGATTTATCCCTCAATGTCTTGCTTCTGTGTCTCTAAACCTCCTTTTATGGCTTTAACCAACATGTTTATTTAATCCTTTCTTTCAGATTTAATCTTATCCCCTCAGATTCTCACCAAAGCTAAGCCTTCTATGTGAGGGTCTGCTTACGGAGATCCTGTTCTGTTGCATCTGTACACGTGTCGGGAGGTATGGCTTATCTTTTACTCTTGCAGGAAATGGATGAGGTATGAATTGTTTCAACGTCTCATGCGTCATGGAATTTATCTTGGCTTCAGCCAGGTGCCCTTGGTGAATTATCATTTCGGGGGCTAATTTGTATGTTAAGTGACAACCTGGCATTTTTCACAACATGTAAGTAGCTCAAATTTAGACGCCTAAACACAGGAAGGCATAGGCCTAGGATTCCCATTTCTAATCAAATAACCCCCCTCACCACCACCACCCAAAAATGAGGAGGGATGGCAGAGGGTACGTACACTCGCCACTTCCTGGGGCTGTGTCTCCTCGGAGCGGCCAGAAGGGGCCTGTCAGCTGGGCACCTGGTGTCCCGGACGTGCCCGCTCTCCACCCGCACGTGTCGACAAATCGTCTTACCCACCTGCTGAGAACGCTGACCCCTCCAGCAGACAGATGTTCACAAACCTGGGCTTCAGACACCTAACAAGCAGCCCAGAAGACTCCACTATGTACCTGGAAGGATGTGCAATTCCCCTAACCATGCTCTTCTCTGACCCTGGGAAAGACTGTTCAGCGTGCCCGTCACGCATCAGAGGGACACGTGACGCTCCAGGAAGCCCCGCGCCGAGAGCCGGTCACCCTGGCCCTCAGGCGGTGGCCAGAAGACACTGCGCTTAAGGAGACAAGCACAGGTGCCTGAAACACACCTACGCAGACGACGTGACAGCGTCGCCTGGTGTGCAGTCGGACGCCGCAGGAAGCCCCGTGCGGACAGACACGGGCCGAGGACGCAGCGCGTTACCTTGTCTATGGTGAGCAAGTAGAAGTGGGTGATGTCGTTCTCGTGTGCACGCCGGATCCTTGCCATGCACTCCTCCTCGTCGATGAGCTCCCCCACGTACTCATTCACAAACTCTCCCTGGAAGCCAGAAGAGTGCGCTGCTGACGACCAACAGCCCGGCCGCGCCTCAGCACCGAGGCCCAGAGCCCACGCCAGGAGCAGGCGTCGGGCAGGGGGCTCGCCAGGTCCCTGGACGTTACGGCCAAGTCGGGCAATTCTATGCATGTCTCATGAAGGCTGTCACTGAAGCCTGTACCTGAGACTCCTTCTGGAAGCAGCAACGCGCTAACCCTTGCTTCCCAGCACTCCCGTGTCTTGGGGGCGCTTGTAACCGTCAGCCCCCAGCTCCCACGGAACCCGCCCTCACCGCTCGACCTCCCCAGCAGGGACAGAGCAGGGGTGGAAACACTCCCACAAGCTCTCCTGCCAGAGCCCGGATGAACCAGCAGGCAAGGCAGGTGCAGGAACAGGGCTGCTGGGGTTTTTCTCGGCGCTGCTGGGATCAGCCGAGCACAGTCCTGGTTCTGAGGCTGCCGCGCTCGCTCGCTGCAACAAGCACGCATCCCACCATTCGGCCTGCAAGCGGAGACAGGCTGTGCGTGGTCCCTGTCACCTCCCGACAACCTGGTCCCGCACCGTCCCAGGACGGCCCCCACGGGAGCTGCGTCCACGACGCTATGATTGGAGTCCCT